CTCTTGAGCTTGAGTTATTAATGGGTAAGATATCAATTTGGGCTATAAAACATTTGCACATTCATTTGAAAGGAAATATTTTTACATGGTGCAATTACTTAAAAAAAATTCTGTTATTACTATTCCAGGAACAGGGGTGGGGTGGGGAGGGAGAGTAAAGGAGAGCTATGGGGGGATGAATTCAAATATGATGTATTTGATACATTGTAGGAACTTCTGTGAAGGCCACAGTGTACCCCCAACACAATAAAGGGAAAAAAATCTGGTTTTAAATTTAACTTTGTCTTTTTATTCATTTTTAAGTTGTAACACTCTACATAACACTCGTAGTCATGTTCCATTTTAATATTATACATCCTATAAAATCTGGTTTCCTCTCTTCAGTCCCCACAGCTGGGTCTCGTGCTCCATCTAGTGGCTGTAGGAATCACTAACACCTCAGTGTTATTTACTTGTATTGGATTTTAGAAAATTATAGCACTTATTTTTCAGGAAACAGTGAGAATGCTAAACAATCCCCCAATTTTTCTAAAATGCAGATTTGAATGATTATATTAATTTAAATATCCTGCATATTCACTTAAATATACTGTGCACTGTGTCATGTACAGTAGGAGACACTCAATTTAGACCAGTGAGTATGACAAAAATGTGCTATTACTGATGAGATATATTCTCCTCTTTTCCAATGTGTCTTAAGCAATTTAGCATTGGCAGGTGTTTTAGCAGGACAGTAAAAGGGTTTCAAAATACTTGGCCATATCTTCATGTTATTTTCAAAATTGCACATTAACAAAAATACATTCAATTATTTTTACATACAAAAACATTCCTCAGGATTTCCTTTTTACTCTAAATTCCTTGCTAATATCTAAAAATGTTCCTCTCTTATATTCTGAAAAATACATTTAATTTATTAAGTCTTAAGTAAACAGACAACTGGTCAGGTACTAATAAATCACAGAAAGATCAAGTATTAAAGGCAAAATGAGTGTGACATTCTAAAGAGAGTTTCTCTTTGTTGCTTGCTCCCCTCCCATAGCGTGCGTGGCTTTCATAAGTCATCTGGTATAATCCCGAACTCCACATTAATTATTATTGGTCACACACAAGTGACTTACTCACTATGCCTGAAGCAAAGGTAAGGCTAAGAAGATATTTATTAAAAGCATGCAATCCAACCTGAATTTCTATAGAACCTGTGTTGATTTTATTTTGAACATGAAGTTAGGAAACCTTGCATATAATTATGAAGTAGAAGCCAGAATGGCTCACTCTGAACCAGTTACAGAAAATAAACCAAATTTCATTCGTGGTTTCTACTGAAAAATAAGGGTATTTGAGCCAGCCACAGTGGTACATACCTACCTATAGTCACAACACTTGGGAGTTTGAGGCAGCTTGGGTTACAGAGAGAGTTCAAGGCCAGCCTGGGCTATATATCAAGACCTTTTCTTAAAACAACAACAGTAACAACAACAAATGTTATTTGACTGATAGTTCAGCACACTATGCCTGCACAGAACAGAATCATTTCTTGGCTTCTCAAGAGAATTGGTTCCCATGCCAAGGGTGTAGCATTTACACATAACCAACACACATCTCCTTATATACTTCAGATCACCTCTAGATTACTTGTAATACCTAAGACATGCTACACAAATAGGTTTTACACAACATTTCTACAAAATACTGTTAAGAAAAAGTCCATGTACGTTTAGTACAGATGGAACTTTTCGTTTTTAATATACTTAACCCAAGAGAAATTGAATCCATCCAGGTGGAAAAGGCTCAGATACTGAGGGCCAACTGTAACTATCGCTCTGCTAAGTGAATGAATGCGCTTGGCACATTTTGGTTTTGACCTAGAATTTAACAAGGGCATTTTGATGTGGCTGTGAAATAGACGAGTATGGGCCCGAGGAAGGACAATTAGGTGGGTTCTTAGCTATTAGTTAAAGAATCAACACCCACCTGGGTGGAGAGCTCTAAGATCAGGTCTGCGGGTACTTCCCTCAAATCCATAGGCTGGATTGGAGGACGGAAAAGCTGAAGGAGAGAGCTAACATACACAACTCAAGACGGGCCGAGAGAGGTTTCAGAATATTTCAGTTTATTAAAATAACGGGTCCGAATCAATACAGTGGGTATAGAGTAATTATTTCCCAGAATGGAAAAGCTTCATGCAAACCTCAGGATGATGATCTGTCCTGTGCCTCTAGTCAGTGCCTACACACTGCTTCCAAGGGAAGCCATGTTTGAGAGACAGCTCCAACAACAATACAACATTGCATGCTTAGGTCTGAAAGAAATCAGACATAGGTACAAAGGATAAGCTAGGTCTAGTTGGCAGCAGTTCTTGATTTAGATGGCAGAAGGAAGCAGAAGACTTAACCTTATTTTTAAGTCCATGAACAATGTGTGGTATGGAAACTAAAAGACAGCAATAAGCAGGAGTGTATCTAGAAAGCAGTGCTGAGAGAACTGGCAGTGTCTGCTTTGGAGAAATGAAGAAGGCCGTGGTTCAGGAAAGTGTTAAGAATTATGCTAGGGCCAGCGACTGAGGTCCTATCCTCAATCAGACCATCAGCACCATCAGAGATGATTACACATTCTAAGAGACCAGGCTTTGCCCTGGAATTTCACCCAACTTGTCTTGCAGAAGAAGAAGCTGTTAGGTGAAGTGTGTAATGAGGGGCAGGAAAACTAATGAAGTAGGAACAATGCTCAAAGTGTCACATGCCACACGTGTACAAAGACATTCTATCAGCTGCAGCCACCAGGTTGCTGTAAGGATCAAGTGCGAGAAAATATGTGGAAGTGTCCAGAATGCTGGTAGCAGTGACTTACTCCTTGTGAGATGACAGGTAAGGGGCTCCTCTAATTAGAAACATGCTACACTCTGACATATAAAGTCCAAGTGATCTTCAATGTCTATGGCTTCATTTTATTAATAAGCCAAGCTCATTAATTTAGCTTTGGATTTCAAGGTTCATACTGTTTTGAAACTTGGTACATAAATGACATCTCTTCTCCTATCATGCTATATGTTAAAATCTGTAAGACATGATCCTATAATACACAGAGTTAAATCCTTTAATAGTACTTGATTAAAAAACCTACCTCTCTTTCACAGTGTAACACTTGGACAAGTGAAACAGAGATGTTTGTGTGAAAATGAGGCAAATGTGTACTCTAGAAAGCTTAAGAGAATAGGAATAACTCAAAATATGTCATGAGGACTGAAGATAGATAATTTTTAAAAACAGAAATGATCCCTTAATATAAGAAGTTAGTAGTATGGCCTGACTACACTGCCTGCTCTGATTTGTGCTCACAATCTACTCTTAGGATGGGAGTAGATTAAAACTCATTCTTTGCCCTAGTGATAAAGACGTTGATTTAAGAGAAGTGGCTGGAGATGTAGCTCTGGGGATGTGCCAGAGCACTTGTAAAGCATGCAAAAAATCCTCAGTTTGATCCCCAGCACTGAAAAAAAAGTTTTAAATAAGTAAATAAACAAATACAAATAAAAACAGTGTCTAAGAAACAGATGGAAACCTCTTGTGGGTGAGCTCAGAATCAATGGATAGGGAAGAATCTGGAATTAAGTAGCAAAGAGTTGGGAGAAGAGAGAAATCAAGAAAGAGTCAATTTGAAAAAGGTTTTGAATCCATCATCTTAGAAATATTGAAAGTACATTAGATGACTAAAGCAAACCCCAGATTCTGTCATTTTTTTTTTTTTTTGTAACTTTGGGAGAGTCTGCTATGTCATAACTTCACTGCAAACCAATGACATCCAGCTTCAAGGTTTGGAGTCATGAACGTGTAATGTAGCCTTGGAAACAGTCTTCCATAATAACATGGCTGAAAAAATGGAAAAGAAGTCTGGTGGAAATCATTTTGCTATGTAAGTTGGGAAGTGGTTTACATCACAGGGTTATTTTGATATGTTTGAGATGGGAATACACAGCTGCAGGAGAACCTATTACACTTGAAGCTCCCCATGAGACACAGATGTTAAAGTCTGGTCCCCATCAATGGGGGGCACTGGACTGGGCTTGCTTATTTTGTGGCATGTTTTACCAAGAAGTGTGTGAATGTACTTCCCTGTTCTAGCCACTTCTTTGTGCACCACTCAGTTCAGTGACTAGTCATTTTTCCTAGGAAAGGCAGTGTGCTTGTGGGCCCTTCTCTCACATTCCTTTTTTTGCCAGTGCCTCCCTCTGGCACTCAGTAGGACCCAGAAGCCTGGGAAGCCAAGGGGTGCCTGCTGATGAAGGTAGACGGATGGGTTGGACAGTAGCCAAGTGATGGCTTATCAGCTCACTTCCTAGACAGGTAGGTGAGTAGGGGGATGAGTGGGGGATGGTGGCAAAGTCAGTCAGTCACTTGTGGTCTCACTCTTTTTTTCTCTGTAAGCTGTAAATACTAAAAGTCCTCTCCCTATATCAAAAAAACTAACAAAAACCAAACCACTGAGAATCATATAGAATTATGTGGAAGTGTTTTTAAAACTCCACACAGTACTACGTATATGTCAATTTTGTTTTGAGTTTTTAGTTTGTTTATTTGTTTGTTACTTGGAGGAAGAGAACTGAAAAGAGGGAATATATGACCTACCAGTATTGGCTGGTAAGATTCTAGCTTTAAAAGAGCAGAATCGTTTTATGGAGCTTGTTTAATGTGCCGTGAGGGTAAATTACATAATGATTAAGTGGTGAAGTTGGTTAAGGGGAAGATGACTACACTACTGTGCTCACACCATTTTAAAAGCCCTGTGACACAGAAAACATACTTCATTGGTTTCTAAAGTACACTGAGACTTAGTTTGTTTCAACTAAAAAGAAAATTCAGTGTGGACAGAAGAAAGGAGCTAAATTCAAGATGGATGTATGATGGGTGAGTACAAAATGGCATATTTGTGACTCCAGAGTGGAGCAGGACGCCTCTCTAGCTCCCACTGACCCTCAGGTGAGAAGCCCTGTGGAGCTGTACCTGTGTGTGTCCTCCGATGAGCCTTCAGGTGAGAACTTTTCGTGTACACTTTGTTACATCCCTCAAAATCACATCTGTGGATACGCCGTTTCCTGGAGTCGGGGGATTCAGACCGTCTCTGGCGTCTTGTGCTCTCAATACTAAATGGTGAAATTGAACTGGAAGAAGAAAAAGTGGAGTGAGTTATGTGGTGAGACGTATAGCTCTCTTTTTGTGCTTAGTTTTTGGGGCTCAGACTCCACAGATTACATATCTCATTTTTCTCATCCTGAAAAGTAGACAGCACAACTTCTTTTTGGTAATCCCAGCATCAGAGGCGGAGGCAGAAGGATGTGAATTTGAAGCCAGCCCGGGTTACATAATGAGACCCCATCCCAAAAAAACAAACTGAACCACACCACCACAACAAAGTAAAACTAAAACTAGGTGAAAGCAAAGGTGGGTGAGTAAATCGTCCAATTAGAAGAAACCATCCCATGGCAGTAAATTAAAACCTCATAGTTTTGAATTTCTGAATGTCCTTTCTAGAGACTATTTTAGGAAGCCCTGCTATAAGCAAATGACAAAGTGAATACATTTGATAAGTAAGAGGAGGGTCTGAGTTCTACACAATAACATATAAAATCGTGTAAAATCACAATCCACATTTCAAAACAAGTGAGGTCAGGCTGAAAGAAATGACATGAGTACATCAATAACGTGACTCATGACAAGCTATTTCTGTGTAACAAAATTCACCTGACATTTAACTTTCCTGGTTGGTGGTTTCTTGTGGGGGAGAATAAAGTACATTGTCTTTAAAGATTAGCTGTACTACTATTATGAAAAAAAAGTGTTTTAACTATGAAGTTTGGCCCTGACTTGCAAGTTGTTAATCTTAATGCTCCAGTAGAAAAACAGGATTAGTTTGTAATGTCAGGTAATTGATTAACATGTACCTTTTTCAAACCTTAATCTCCTTTGATTGAGACAGAAAGAAATATGACACATCTTTTCTTACTTATCCATGAAGTTCTTTAAAATTATAGTGAAATGTGATAAACACAGAACCACTCTTATTTCCACCACTACTAATATTTTGACATATTTACTTTCAGTTTTTCCATTTTTTATGCTTTTGAAAATTAGGGTTTTTCCAGCCAAGATGTCCCAGCACTGACGAATGGATTAAGAAAATGTGGTATCTATACACAATGGAATTTTATGCAGCCATGAAGAAGAACGAAATGTTATCATTCGCTGGTAAAATGGATGGAATTGGGAAACATCATTCTGAGTGAGGTTAGCCTGGCTCAAAAGACCAAAATCGTATGTTCTCCCTTCATATGTGGACATTGATCAAGGGCAAACACAACAAGGGGATTGGACTATGAGCACATGATAAAAGCGAGAGCACACAAGGGAGGGGTGAGGATAGGTAAGACACCTAAAAAACTAGCTAGCATTTGTTGCCCTTAACGCAGAGAAACTAAAGCAGATACCTTAAAGCAACTGAGGCCAATAGGAAAAGGGGACCAGGAACTAGAGAAAAGGTTAGATCAAAAGGAATTAACCTAGAAGGTAACACCCACACACAGGAAATCAATGTGAGTCAATGCCCTGTTAGCTATCCTTATCTCAACCAGCAAAACCCCTTGTTCCTTCCTATTATTACTTATTACTCTCTCTACAACAAAATTAGAGATAAGGGCAAAATAGTTTCTGCTGGGTATTGAGGCGGGGAGCAGGAAGGGGTGGAGTGGTGGTAAGGGGGGGTGGGGCATGGGGGAGAAATGAACCAAGCCTTGTATGCACATATGAAATAATAAAAAAAAAAAAAAAAAAAAAAAAAAAGATAAAAATTAAAAAAAAAAAAGAATATAAAAGTAAAAAAAAAAAAAAAAAAAAAAGAAAATTAGGGTTTTTCTAACAAAAATGTCACTTTTTTTTCTTTTACAAAATCAGAGAACAGGAGAGCAGTGCAGGTCCTCCTGAGGGGATTGGTACCAGTGGGAGGGGGAGGAGGTAGGGAAAGGGTATAGGAGAGTGAGGATGGTGCAAATGTGAACATGTGTATGTAAATGGAAAAATGAAGCCTGTTGAAACTATTCTAGGAATAGGGGAGAGAGGGGCTAAAGGAAAATGATGGACTTTTGTAAATGCAACGATGTACCCCCCACCCAGCACAACAATAAAAAAAAAGAAAAAATGATAAAAAGTATAATAAACCTGATATAGTGTAAGAACTTTTGTAAATGCCACAAGGTATCCCTAGCACAATAAATTTTTTTTAAAAAATTAGGATTTTTACATTTGTACCTATTATTAACTCTGCTGTATAGATTTATATTTCTAAATTAGAATCCATTTTTATTAATAAATCATCTTTTTAAAAAAACTAAACATCACAGATACAGATAAAGAAACCCTTTGTCTTCCTTTCTTCTGTTCCCAGGGGAATAGCTCTGGCTTCAGTTTTCTTTAGGGTTTTCCAATTCTTTTAGGTTACCTATACATATCTGCTCTCACGGAAATTCATAATATTGCTGTGGGTTTTTAAAAGCCATATATTTAACATCATGTTGTTGACATCATTTTACAAACTTTTACCCCTGCCACCTTTTTTTCACTCAACATCAAGCATTTGAGATTTACCCAAGTGGATCACATGCTGTATTTCATTTACTTGAAGTGCTATTTACTGTAACTTACCAATTTTTACATGCATTTTTCATGCTTTAATATTTCTAATTTTTATTTTATTTTATTTTTTCTTTTATTCATATGTGCATACAATGGTTGGGTCATTTCTCCCCGCTTCCGCCCGCCCCCTCCCTTACCTCTCCCCCCCTACCTTTAATATTTCTAAAACTTGATGTTTCTTGCAATTGATGGCTTGTACTTTAACTAGAATTTTTTTTCTTTATCAGTGGTACTAAAATAACTGCATTTTTGCAACAGAGGACATTTCAACTTAGATCAAGGGTCAGTGACCTTTTTCTGTAAAAGGCTAAATAGCAAGTACTTTGAGGGTCATAAGGTCTTAGGTTGTAACTAATAAACTCTGAAACCCTATCATAAAAGCAGCTATAGACAATGTCTAAACTAAAAAGCACAATTCCAATAAAACTTTATTTACAAAATCAATGGGCTGTATTGCCTTTGAGCTATAGCTGCTGACTCCTGACTTATGAAACATGAGAGTAATTCAAAAACATTCATCCAGAGTTTTTAAACTCCGTTTCTTAAGTGACAGACACATTGACTACTTGTGATGTTGCACAAGTACACCAGTAAACTGTTTCTGAATGTCTCATACCTAAGTCTGTTTTGTGTTTTCAATGTACCTTTTCCTTTTGACAAATCACAGATTAGGTAGCCAAAGCCATTTTTATTCGGTAAGGTCAAACGTAAATGCTGTTTCCCTAACTGTGTTTCAAACTGTTTTATGTAAGATCTACACTGGAGTGAAAGAACAGACGCTATGCATGGCTAAGCCACTTTTTTCAGCCTTGGTATCTATCAGTGTGGATTTGTGGTTTTCCACGTAATTGACTCAGTTGGAGGGACTGGAGTCTATTGTGAGAAGAGTCAAAATAGTGTGACTGGTTTGGCTCATGAAAGAAACCTGACAAGGTACATGCTGGCACTGGATGTGATTCCCATGAACAAGAAAGACTGTGTCATGACAGGGCAACAGAAATTCATTTCCTGGATATTGCAGTCATGAAAATAAACATGGATTTTGGCACTGGGACCTTATGACTTATTGTACTGTATGATGTTTGGCATCTTTTAAAAATAAAAAAATATGATAGGTATTTGTTTCCTTCAAATTAAAACTTAAGTCCATAATCAGAACACTATTTTGTACATTTTTTTATTTCTAGAGCTAATTTTTTAGCCATTAACATGTACAAGTGTATTTGTGTATACCAAGAGAGGTAAAAAATAAATCTGATATCAAACCGATTAACTACTTTAAGGGACCAATGAATCAATGCTGTGGTGCAGTCCATCCACCATTAAATAAACGGCAGGCAAAGAAACACAAGCAAAGGCGTGTTAAGTGGATGGCCTTACTATTCTCTGATTTTTTTTATTCTAAAGCAAAATACCGCTGAACATTACAGAGAATAACCACCTAAAGATAAGTGTCCAATAAAAATAATGTTAAAACACTTAAGTCTGGGCAGTGAGGAACTGTATCCAGGAAAGCTGGCTTTGAAATGACATTCAGTTGCAGAAGTTTACTTGTTAGCTCCCACTTTTAAATGGCAGTGACATCTTCAGAAGATGTGGAGGAATCCTTGTCTAAACTGTGCCTTTCAGGACTATTGACTTCATCTCTTTGTAGAAAGGTGAGAAGGGAAGTGGGACTGAGGTAAAAGAGGACCAGAGATGTGGAAGATTTCAAAGAGCCCAGGAAAAGGAGAGAACAATTTGATACCAAGCAGGAGCACTGGCCTTGGCCCTCAGCATGATTCCAAGTTAACAGGAACAGTAGACGGATGACAATTATGGAGTGGGGGTTTGCTGAGTGAAGGTCATGGGTCAGAGCAGTACCAGGACATAAGGTACTGGTACCAAGTCATTCTGAATCTCTAGAATCTAAGACTTTGTCAGCATTTAAGAAATGTTCACTAAACAGAAAGAATAAATGAATCTAGTCAGGTGTCCCTAAGGTTAATTAATTAATTTCAAATAATCTTTAATTGGTTAATGAATCCTCACTATGATCCTTTGATTGTTGAGTCTTAAGATAACAAAAAGTGAATTCCTCATTCTTATACCTACTTCCCCAAGTTCCTATTTTAAATGCTACTGGAGTCTGGGTAACAATTTAAAGCACATATCCTTATATGTGGTCCTTAGTTTTTTACCCTAAATTCAAAAGCATGGCATTCTAACGCACTGCTTACAATGTAAAATTTCAGGGTAAGACCACTGTGATATCTGTGTAGGACTCTGAAAAGTGAAAGAAACAAAATCTTCCTTTTGATTCCAGCTAGCATCTAGGTAAGTAGGGAAGGGTGAAGGGGAGATCCTTCTCACAGCACTGTTATCTTGTATCATCTCAGTCTGGGGCTACCTAGAAGTGTGCCTGTTTGGGAACAGAACAGCTTTAGTACACTTTGGGTGTTCCTACTCTGCCGTGCATAGGTTCTCTCAGCAACAT